GAGCACACACACAGGCTGAACGTGTTATCATTTTAGGGAGGACAAAAAAAAAAGCCTAATACCTGGTAATCAGAGCTTAACTAGGGTAAACCAGTTAAGGATTTGTCCCAGAGTGCCAACTTGATGAGAGTATGGGGGGTTGTTTTATCTCTTCATTGGTCCAGATTCCACCATCCTTAAATCTCATGGTATGACATAGTTCTGCACCTTCAAAGGGGATGGGAAAAGAGTAGAGGTAGATCCTGGAAAAGTTCTTCACTGGCATAGTTGATAAGAGAAGTATGGTCCAACCCCATCTATGAACATAAAATTGTACTTATCACTGCCCCATTTCCCCCAACTACTTTTATCCTCAGTAGAGGAAAAAATACTAATTATAGCTCTGCTGGTGATATCTGAGTCCTTTGTCCTTGAAGGAAAAGATGAATACTCAAGTGAAATGAATGCCTAGGACACCCCTAGAGTCATCTATGCTCTGGGACGAGCAAGAGTCCTCTCTTCTTACTAAAACCTGACTAGTTCTTTGAATTTCCTCTATGGGGAATCTGTCTAGATAAACTCTAAAGCTCCTCTTTGGAGAGACCTCAGCTCTTCAACCCCTTCTTCCTGGACTCTTCTCGATAGATAGGCAGATCAAAGAGTTTCCATTGAAAGTCACTCAGTCCTGGCTCCATTACCCACTCCCATCCTGTACCCACCATTCCCCGATAGAGTGCAATGAGTCAGACCCCAGGGTGGTGGGTGTTGGTTGCATATCCAGTTCCTGGCGCTGACCCATTAAGCATCCCTGGGCAAGATATTTCTTCCTCTCATCTTCCAAGGGGCCTTTATGGCATATCTGGCCCTGTTCTCCCCCTGCTCATCCTCCTCCCCTCTGTGTGACCTCAGATCTGCTCCACTGCGTTGAAAATCTTCTGGGAAGGTCTAATATAGAGTCATGGACCAACAAAATGTGAATACACGCCCAAGGCTCAATCATCACTCCTTTGTGTTTCTCCAGCTACACTCTGCTCTGGAGATAAAGGGGTTTGGGCATGTTTTGCAAGCCCAACAGGAGGAGGCAGTGATAGAGCAGCTGAGAAAGCAGAATTAGTCTTGGGGTGTATTAACAAAGAATAGTGTCCTAGTCTAAGGAAGTGATAATCTTAGTTATTCTAATATCCAGGGCTATCTTATATATCTGACCAGAGAGTTACCTCTAGTAGGTGGTGCAGTAGACAGAGGATTGGGCTTGGAGTCAGCAAGATCTGAGTTCAAATTTAGCCTCAGACACTTCTTAGCTGTGTGACTCTGGACAAACCTCTGTCTCATTTTCCTCAACTGTAAAATGGGGATAATGATAGCACTTACCTCAGTGCTGTTGTGAGGATCAAATGAGATAATGTTTATAAAGAGCTTAGCACAATGCCTGGCACATAGTAGGTGCTTAATAAATGCTCTTTTCCTGCTTTTCCTTCCTTAAAAAAAGCCTCAGATCAGAGGACCCTGGCATCACTAGCAAAATAAGAATTAGAATATTTTTTCAACAAAGTCCAGTTCTTGGCACATCACGATTGTAACAGCTAGCATTCATATCACACTTTAAGGTCTGCAAAGTGCCTCACATCTGTCATCTCATCACACAAAATCCCTGAGAGATAGGTGCTATTATTATTCCTATTTAAGGATAAGGAAATGGAGTCTGAGAAAGGCTCAGTGACTTGCCTGGAGTTGTACAGCTGACAAGTGAGGGCATATGGGATTTAAACTCCAGATTTCCTAACTCTAAGCTCAGCCTCCTAACCACACAACAACCCAGTGCCTCTATATAGTAAGCACTTAAGAAATGCTCGTTCATCCATTCATTCATTCATTGTCTCACTCTTCTGTATCCTGACTGGGCCCCATCTATAGTATCTGGTTCAGTTCTGGACACATGAAGCTAGAGAGTGTCCTGAAGAAGGCGACCAGGATAGTAAAGGATCTCCACATGATGTCCTATGAGGATCAGGTGAAGGAAATGAGGACGCTCAGCCTGGAGAAAAGAATATTCATCTAGGAAACAAGCCTGCTGTCTCCAAGTGTTTGAAGGGCTGCTCTGTGGAAGTGGGATCAGAATTTGTTTCCTTGGCTCAGAAGGGCAAATTAGAACCAATGGGTGAGAGCAGCAAAGAAACATTTTAAGCTTGACACAACGTAACACTTCCAAGCTGTTTAGAGCTGTCCCAATACAGAACGGGCTGTCTCAGAAGGGAGTAGTTCACCTCAAGAGAGGTCTTCCAACAAATACTGGGTGAATACATGTGGGATACATTTTAGAAGAGATTCTCAATCAGAGAGGACTTATTGGACTAGAAAGCTTCTGGACCCATTCCAGGTCTTGGATCCTGAGAGATCTCATCCACCTTTACAACTTGTAGATGATCCCCAATCTTCATCTCCAACCTTGACCTTGGCCTTTGAGTAGGAAGTCGAGGAATGGGTGTGGGCCACTCTCTAGGAAAAGGGGAACCTCTCCAAGTTATGTTTCAGAGACAGCAACAAACAGAAATTTACAAGCGCTCCCCAGCCATTCCCAGACACATTTTCCAATAGAAACTCTGACTGACTTGTACATGTGGTTTTTTTTTTAATTTTCCACAATGAACTGTGTGATGTCTCACTGCTCCTAGATGTCTCATTTACTAGTTCCCCCAAAAGGAACAGAGTCTTGGGAGTAAAGTTAGACTAAAATTAGTTTGAACAAGACCATATCAAAGTTCCCTTCTCTGTCCAACATTCTCTGTTCCCAGGTCACTTCCATTTCTGACATCAATCACCCAACAAAAAGTCCATTCCAGCTCTGACATCTTTGGTTCTAAGGTTTCTTCTGCATCAGCCATTCATTCTATCAGGCATCCTATGGCTCTGAAACTTGGTGGCTATTTGACAATTAATCTCTTAAAGTCTCAGTTTCTCCTCTATGAAATGGGTGAAAATGCTCTCATTATTTATGCCACAGAGTAGTTGCCAGGATAGCATTTTGTAAACTTGAAAGGGCTACATAAATGTGAGCTATCATTATTGTCTTTTTTCATCATCCCTCCCAAATATGGCCCTCTGCATTCCAAGGTTCCTTCCAACCTGAACATTCTCTGCCTCTGATTCCATGTTTCTGAGCAGGTGTGAGAGTCATGACCAGCTCAGCACCAGACTCTCATCCTCCCCTGTACCCTCCACCTCTCACCACCCTCATCTTCAAGAGGCCAACTTCCCAAGCTGAAGCTAGAGGGGAGCATGTCTCTCATTAAATATATCTAGTTCTCTGACTTGAAATATAGGGGCAACTCTGCCTGAAGTGGAGGGAGGGACATTTGTAAAAAGTGGGAGGTGGGAAAAGAGATCCAGGAATGCTAAGGAACTGAGACAACTGGATGAGATTGGGGCACATGGGAAGGAGGAGTGGGGCAGGACAAAGCCGGGGAGAGGACCTCAGAACAAAAGAGGTTCATCCCAGTGTGGGACTTTAGAGCTCAGGGTGATGCAGGCACCGTAAGCCAGGGCTTCCCCATTCTCCTCTATCCTCTGTTACTTCAGGGAGGTTTTTCCTACTGCATGGCTGGGCTCCTGTCCCCATCTTGCCCACCGTATGGACGTGAAAGAGGGATCCAGCCTGGCAAACTCAAGAGTCTTGGCCAATGCCCCTACCCCAGCTGGTCTAGAGCTGCCCCTGCCAATGCCTCCTTCTGCTTTTTAGCCAGGCAACAGATGGGTTCTGGGATTTCTCTCCTTCCCTAATGTTTCTTCTCTTTGCCCTCTTCGTAGGGGAGGAAGGAGATGGCTTGGCATGGGTGCCATCCTATCCCCTTAGTTTGCTGGTGTCTCCACAACAGCTGCAGTGATTGCAGTATGCCTGACCCGCCTACGATTGAACTCATGGGCTAGCTGAGGCAGATAATGAGCTGTGGTGATCCCACCTTCCTGTAAACTCAGTGGGCTCTGCCATTCCTGGGGCTGGCTGATATTCCCCAATGGGAATTCTCCATTCAACCCAGACTGGTCCCCTTTCTGATCTCCCAAATACTCCTTAGTAACATCTGTACTGATTTAGAAAGGACCGCAGAGACCATGGAACCACAGGCCAATAGATCCTGCTCTAAAAGGAACCACAGAAGTTATCTGGTCCAACTAGTACCTGAACAGGAAATCCTTTCCACCTGAAGCCCTTGAGTCATGGGGAACTCTTTACCTTGCAGGGCAGCCCATGTCGTTTTGTTACAACTCTGGTGAGTAGGAAAGTTTTCACTGCAACAAGCTAAGTTCTGGTTCTGTTTCCACTCATTGCTGCCATCTCTGGCCAAGCCGAACAAGTCTGATGCCTCTTCCATATGACAGCCCTTGGGATTTTCGAAGGTGGCTATTGTTGATGTCCCCTCACCCCAAGCCTTCTTGAAGAAATCCCTCCTTCAAAGCATAGCAGTTCTTGTGCTTGAAGACAGCTTGCATTACGGCCCACCCCTCCTCAAGCCTTCTCTTCTGTATACTAAACTCTTTCAGTTCTTCCAGCCTATCCTTCTAGAGCTTGGTTCCCAATATCCCCACCACCACTGCATCCCTCCTTTGGGCAAACTCCAGCATATTAATGTCCTTCCTCAAATGTAGCACCCAGAACTGAACCCAAGACTCCAGATGGAGTCTGACCAGGGCAGAGGATAAACAGAGTATTATCATCTATCTCCTTCTAGAACTAGACTCTGTCATCACTCAGTGATCTGGAACCACGTAAGGTCTGAATGAGTGCATCAAACAGCCAATCAGCAGCTGGCTGTTATTCATGAAAGTGTGGATCCATAGTTAGGTGAACATGTGCAGACACATACTGTGTTGCCTCACATGAACCACTTCGCCTTGCTGGCTTTCCGTTTTCTCAGTGGTGAAATGACAGGACTGTTCTCTCATTTTTAATTAGTTTTAAAATCCTAGGAGAAGGGAGGGAAGAACAGACAGACCGAGACAGAAAGAAAGAGAAACAGAAAGAGACAGAAAGAGACCTGAGTTCCATTTTCTTACTTTTTGTCCAGGACACTTTTGTGAGGCTCAGGGACAAAGGGAGGACTTTTGCCTCACCTGGCGAAAGGCTTTCTTCCCTCCTTTTGAAGAGACATTAAATGTCTGGGCACAGGCATGCTTGTGAGTTAGCACATGTATTTCCTGGAAGTGAATAGGAAGGCTTCTTTCACTCCTCCATTCCCTCTGTGTTTGCTGGTTGAGATTTCATGTCCCTTCAGGAGCCCAAGCTGTGGAGTCCCAGAAAGGAAGATCTGGCCTGAAGAAAGGAGGGAGGGAGCTGAATCCCAGGAAGGGAAAATGTCCTGATGCATCTTCATTCCTCCACAGTTCCAGGTCTGACTGGATCAAATCCTGCTCTTTAGTGACCTGCACAATGGACTCATTTCCAGAGCCCGCCTGGACTAAATAGGAAGGCCCCAGACCTTCACGAGCTGAGCGGCCAGCCGGCTGCTTCTCACTCAAGGGTCTCAGGGGCCAGACACTACTGTGTTCCCTGGGGTGGGTGTGTCCCAGGGACTCTGAGCTCCATGGGCTCCCTTGTGGGCTCAAACTTTGGGTTAAGGGGGTGCTCAGTCCTGGTGGAACTCTGTGATCATCTCCTCTGACCTTCTAATATCTCCAAGCCAAAGGATAGTCCCAGAGTCCAAGATGAATCCTAGGATCATCTCTGATATTTATTTGCGATAGAAGAAGCACAGGGTTGGAAATGAGAGAGAAGCCAAAGCTGGGAGAACTGGGGCTTCTCCTATCCCAACCCTGGGGCCACATGGAGGGGTGCGGGTGGGGGTGGGATTCAATCTGCCTTCGGCTCCAACCAGCCCCGCTGAATCCTCTTGGGAAGTGTAACAGGAAGCGCAGGGAGTGGGGAATTCTGAAGGGAGGGGGTGGAGGGGCGAGAGGCCAGGGGAGGGGGTGCCCGGGGAGCGCCATGACATCATGGTCTATTGAGAAGGGGAGGGGGTGGGAGGGGAGGGGAGAAAGAGGGGACCTGACAGCCAATGGGAAGGAGGATCTCGTTTCAAAAGGGTTAACCTGCAGCCAATGGGAGCCAGGGGGAGCGATCCTGCTCACTCCATTCAAGAATCCCAAGTATTCAAGATGGACGGCAGGGAGTGTGGAAAGAGAAAAAGGGGGAAGAGGGGATGAGAAGAGCAAGAAAAGGAGAGAGGGCACCGAGGGCCAGCCGGCCGGCTGCCTGCAGCTCCCCTCCCCGCCGGCTCTTCTCAGGAGGCTGCACAATCTCATCTCAGCCAAGACTTGAGAAGGGGGGAGGAAGAGGAGGAGGAGGTGGAAAAGGCAGGAGAGAGGGAGTGGGAAAGGGGGAGCTGAGGACAGACACAGGAGAGAGGGAAGGCGAGAGAGAGGGAGGGAAGGGAAGAAAAGGGAAGGAAAGGCGAGAGAAGGGAAGGGAAAGAAGGAAAGGGAAGGGAAGGAAAAGGAAGGGAAAGGAAGGGAAAGGAAGGGAAAGGAAGGGAAGAGCCAGAGCAGAGGCAGAGGGAAGTGGCAGGAAATTGACCAGAAAGAAGAGAACTCTAGATATTCTCAGCTCCCAGAAGGGTAAAGCCAAAGATTTTCTCCTTTTATTTTCTCTTCGTTAAAGGGCCGGGGTCTTCTGGTCTCTGTTTCTCACCTTCTTTATTCTTTCTTTTCCCTCCTTTTTGTCTCCCTCCTTTTCCTACTTCACTTGTGGGCATCTTCTCTCCCTCTGATTTGCCTCTACACAAACAACCAAAACAACAATTAACAATTCTAAAGCGCTAGGAATATCTTGCTGGCCTGGTTTAACTGCCGTTTTCCAACTGGTTGGTTGGGAGGGGGCAAGGAGAGAAAGGGATCTGCTAAGACCGAGATGGGGTTGAAGTGGAGGGGGGGTGTGTGTGAAACCGTAGTGTGCGTGGGGGGGGGATTCCCAAAGGTGCTTGGTGGGGGAAGGGTGTTCTGATTTCTTTGGGGGTTCCTGAAGAGGTGGGCAGTATTCGTATCTTGATAGGAGTTGTAACTAGCGATGTGTGAATGGACTGTGTGCTTGTGTTGTCTGTACCTGAGGTGTGGCTCAGAGTTGTGTTGCGGCTACGTGGTCCTGCCTATTTGTGTTGAGGGGAACAGAGTATGCTGAGAGCTGTGAGTTCAGTTTGTTTGAGGGGAGATTGTGAAGTGTGTATGTGTGTGTGTGTGTGTGTGTGTGTGTGTGTGTGTGTGTGTGTGTGTGTGTGGTCTGTGGCTGGGAGGTGTGTGGGAGGCACAGTTGGGTGCTGGCGGTAGGGGTAGGGGGAACTTCTCCCCCCCTCCCCCCTTCCCAGCTGCCCTCTTCTCTCCTATCCCATTCACATAACTTGGCTTTTCAGGTCCCTCCTGGTCTCCTCCTTTGGTCTCCATGGCTGCAGGGAGGGGGTGGGAGGGGAAATTCGACCAGCCCACCCCTCTCCTGAGCCCCTGGCCCCTGCTGCTCCCAGCTAACCCTCCACCTGCCCTTTTCTCTCAGATCCTAAGGGCTTGGTCCCACATCCCCTGCAGCTCTGGGGCTGGGGCTGGGATTGGAATTGGGGCTGGAAGACCGAGACCAGCCATTGCGGAGAGTGAATGGGATGGATTCAAATTCCTCCCCTCCCCCCCATTTCCTTCGAGATCTCTACACCACAGTCTTGGGAAGAACTTCGAGGAACGCCTGGCTCCTGGGCCCACGGTGGGGGAGGGGCCATTCCAGACTGGGTGAGTCCCAGGGTTTTTCTCTTTGGGGATGAAATGGAGGAGAGAGCTGGTGGCGGGGGGGGGGGGGGGGGGGGGGGGGGGGGGGGGAGCTGTTACTCCCCCTCCCCCTTTCCTGTATCCATAGCTTCCCTCAAGCCCAGGTTTCTCTCTTTACCCTGCTTGAGTAGATGGGTGGTGGGAAGGACTGCCTCCCTCTAACTGAGGAGCAGTCAGCCCTCTCTTTGCCCCTTTGTCCCTCGCTGGTGTGACCCATTTGCTAGCTCTGACTGGCTTGCCTAGCCCTGGGGGCAGAGGTCAGGACCCACCCTTGGTGACTGACCCCAAGCCAGGCTTCCACTTCCTTCCATTAGGACTCTCTGCAAACGGGGCCCCTGTGTTTAAAGATCAATGGAACAAACTGCCCTGTTGAAGCTGGGAGGTGGAACCTGGTGTGCAAACAGGAGAGGGGCGGGGTGTCCTTTGGGCTGCTGCTGCTGCTGAGGGATTCAGTGGGAGGTCCTGTGCCCTCCTTATAAGGCCCTAGACGGTGGAGGGATCCCCAAACCCCAGGAATCAACTCTTGACTTGTCTTTTCTTCTCTGTACCAGCTCTGGGGAGGGTCTTGTCCTTGAGATTTAAACCTGTTTCCAACTGGAGGGAGGGATTTCCCAGGGAAACTAACAGCCCACACTGGGAACAATCTGTCCCTCGGGCTGGTGGTATCCCCCAATGAACAATTGGTTTTTCTTCCTCTGCTATCTCTTACCCTTGGCCTTTTACTGATCTTGAGGGCATTGTATAATTTGCTCATGAGAAGGTAAAGTCCTCAAAGGTCAGGAAAGAAAGGCCAAAGAAGGGAGTCTTTGTGCCCAGGTTCATTCTTAAAGCATAGTGCTTATTCGCAAGCTTTCTGGGCCCAGGGGCACCCACAGACAAGAGCTGGGGCTCACAGGTTTTTTCACTGCTGTTATTTGACTATGGTTCTGCTTAAAGTAGAAAGGTAGCCTCTGAGCATTGCTCAACTCTGTACCCATACAGTATTTTGCAATTCTTAAATAGAAGTCCCCGGGGTCAGTGGCAGCCACTTGAAGCCAGACTGGCTATGTACCTAAGTACCAGTTCTCTGTTGCCCAGGGGCACTCCCCCCCCACCTCTCTTTATCGCCCTGTTACCCTCCCCCATCTCCAGCCCCCTCCTCCAGGCAAAATCTCTTTGAGGCCTAGAGATGGAAAACTCTGCTGCCCAGGGATGTTGGGAGTGGAATTCAGAGCCCAGGAAGGTCATCATGATCTAGCATAACTTCACTTCAAGCAGGGAAGTTGAAAGAGAGAGGTGGTTTCAAGATTTAGGAAAGAGGAAGAGTTGATTAACATAGCACCAGCACCCTTCTCTCTCTCTCTCTCTCTCTCTCTCTCTCTCTCACACACACACACACACACACACACACACACACACACACACACACACACACACACACACACATCCTCTCTCTCTCTCACACAGGCTTTTGGACCGTCCACCTCCTCCTGAAGCAAATGCCTGAGATCCAATGGAAGGTAAGAATCAGTGTCTGCACATGTCCTCAGTTGTACCTGCACCCTTTACTTGACCACTGAAAACCCCTCGCAGCCAAAGGACATGTCATCTCAGCTTTGAGCAAAAATATCCTCGTCTACTCTAGGCTGGGAATAGGGATTGAAGAGATGAAGAAAAGGAGAAATGTGGAAGTGATGAGATTGAAAACAGAGATAAAAGACTAAGGTGAGTGAAACCAAAGCAAGAAAGGAACAGAGAAGAAGGTGAAAGGAGAGGAGGGAGGAAAATGAAATGAAATGAAATGGAATGGAAGAGATGAAGAAAGACTGAGAAGAGAGGAGACGTCCCCCAGAACCAAGGCAGCTTCCGCTCCTGGCCGGGGCTCTTTTCACATTGTGCTACTGTCTTCACCTGTCACTAGCAGTGCAATGTAAAAAGGGCATTGGCTGGGCAGTACCAAGCAGCACCAATGTGGCCTCTTTCCTCGGACCCTTCCTCGACTTGTGCCCGAGTTAGCTGGATTTTAGTGTTGGAATCTGCCTCAATTTAGCATCATCCTGAGACTGACATCAGCTCTGGTCATCTGATAGAATTCCGTGTGAAAAACCGATTTGGGTGGGTGCTACAAACAATACAGTTGTGGGTTTACTGTGGGGAGGGAGAGGGCAAGAGAGGTAGCTATACCATCTGTGGTTAAATGAGGGTCAAAGTCTTTAGTGGTAGAAGCACCTCCTATACAAGGTCCCTAGTTGTCCTGGAACTTTTAACTTGAAGGGGAGAAAATGGCCATCTGACTGCCTATTTTCTTTTCTGGCAAACCCAGAGTAGGATTGGAAGGGTAGAGATAGAGGAGAACAATAGAGCAAAAGAGCCCCTTGTTTCGGACTGGGAGAAGAAAGCAGAGAAGAAAGTATGCCTGCTCACCCCTGTCAGCCCACACCAGCTGCTCTAGCCCTGTGTGTTCAGGGAACGAGGAGAGAGTGAAGGAGGCAGTCACCATTCTTTTCTCCCCAACCACAGGCTCTTAGATTAAAAGGGCACCTTAAAGATCCTCTACTCTTAAGGGTTCGGAATTGGAAGGGACATCAGAGTCATCTAGCCAACCTGTATTTGGACAAATCCCCTCTACCGCATACCTAACAGTCATTCAGTCTTTGTAATTGAAGACCTCCAGAGGGAAGGAACACTAGCCTCCTCATTGCATAGATGAGAAAACCAAGGCCACCAAGCTGGTGAGCATGAGGGCCAGGATTCAAACCCAGATTCTCTGACCCCATAAGCAATACCCTTAGCAAACAACATTGAGAGTAATTTCTTCCATTCAGAAACCCCTCAGCTACAGGTTAGTGGTAATAAGGGGTGGGTCCTCCTGGAAGGATCCCCTCCCCCCTTTTTAGCCTCTGAACTGTTCATAGGATTGCCCAGGACCTGATCAAATCTCCCATGATGCAAACAGGACAAGACTCCAGAGGAAGCTGTGGGATGAGTGTTACTGACTAGGTTGTAAGAACTTTCAGGGCAGGAACCACACCAGATTCTATTCCTGAATTTCTCATATTTGCTGGTGCAGGACAAGGCACGTAACAGGTGCTGTATAAATTATTTATTTGAATTAGAATTCATTTGCTGAAACAGACATGATTTCCATGATACCAGCAATCTAGAGAAGCCAGCAGCTTGGACATGGTCTGCAAGGGCAGCTTTAGAACAGACACAGATAGTGTCACATAGACCAGAAATCTTAGTGGCAGGGGGTGAAATTCACAAAGAGATAAGCATAATAGCATATAACTGAAATGAGCTTCTGAGGGCATCTCCATCTTGCTTTACAGTTGAGGAAACTGAGGGCAAGCCATTCTTACTTCCCAAGTGTCCCCAGCCCCTTGGGCAGGCAGAATCCAGAACACTAAAGAGTTCCACTTCGATGCGGGAGGCTCATTGTGTAGGGCAGCAGCCCCTTCCTGCCCAAGTGCTTCTGTTCCATCCTTCCTTCGTGTGTGCTGCCCCTCAGCGCTCTCTCGGGAGCAATGTCTCTGCGAGGCATGCTTCATGCTACTTATGTCTATCACAACCTTGCCATCCCTCACTGTCCTCACTCCACTTCGTTTCTTCCTCAGCCTTAAGTACTGAATAAAAAGAGTGGGTTTTGCTTCATTGGGTTTGTCAGAGAATGTAAACTGATGAAGACTTTGAGCTCCTTGACTGAAGGGCCTCTAGCCTTTCTTTGAATTCCCAGCACTTAGAACACAGTGCCTGGCACATAGTAGATGCTTAATAAATGCTTGTTGACTGAAGAGCAAAGACCAAGTGGCTCCTGGCATTTTTTGTGAAATACTTAGATTTATGCTGGAGGTAGGAATTGAATGAGATGACTTCCAATATGCCTTCCAACTCTGTCACTCAGACTTCATTCAGGGTTGTGTGCTCTGTATCTTCCCCCAAGCACTTCAGCTAATGAGTAGGATGTCTAAATGTACCTCAGTGATGGAATGAGTCAAAACTGACCAAAATCGACCCTTGATTGACTGAATCCCAGTGATACTACAACTTTGAGCCACTCCCTTTCAATTCTGCTGATTATGGGTAGAATCTACTGATCAACTTTTTTTTTTAATCTAAAGTAGTGTCTGAGACTGCTAGAGGTAGCTGGGTGGCGAAGTGAACAGAGCCAACGATAAATAAGGAAGACCCGAGTTCAAGTATAACATGACCTCAAATATGACTTCATTAGCTTTGTGAACTTGGATAAGTTAATTAGCTTCTCCAGGCCTCGGTTTCCTCATCTGTGTAAAAATGGGATAATAATAGCAACTACCTCCCAAAATTGCTGTGAGGATAAAATGAGGTACTATTTGTAAAGGGCTTTAAAACCTTAAAACACTATATAACTGTTATTAATATCCTGCGAATCAACTGAAATCAAGAAGGATCTCTAAGCTCAGATCACATCATATTCCCAGACTCAAAGTCAGGCATACCTGGATTCGGGAAGTCACAAACACTCCCACCTCCAGCATGGAATGCTAGGACTCAAACTGACCATCACAAATCATGAAGTAGGCAAAATTTCCCCAAAAAACCCCTGGGCCAGATAAAGGCCAGAGCTGGGTCTTCTACTAGCAAAGGAGTCCTGCTGCTCCCTGGCGGAGATCAAGGGAAATCCATGTTTATAAGCCCCCTCAGACAAGGAGCCTGCTTCTGGTGTGGGTATTACAGTTAGAAACGTCAAACCTCTGCACTCAGCTGTTTTTTCCCCATTTTTATTAAAAATAAACTCAAACACTTTTTAATACAAAAGTTTCGTGCGCTGGTGGCAGCCACAGGAAAATCCGGCCTGTGACACTGATTTTCCACCTTATTCCCAGTTGCCTGAGTCCCAGGAAGCGGTTAGCTGGAGCCTGTGCGGCCCCCTGGTGACAAAGCCAGCTGGGGAGGAAAGTCACGGGGGGGGGGGCAGCCTCCCCCACCCAACCCAATGGCAAAGATTATATATGCAAAAGTGCCTCATTAGTGCCAAGGTAACCTAACAAGTGACAAATGAAATGGAAATCCCAGTGATCCTTCTGTGTCTTCCAAGGACTTGGGATTGAGGTCTTCTCTGCCTTTCTGCTTCAATCACATTCTGAAGCCGTTAGCTCCCAGAGCTGGAGGACAGTCTCACTCCAGTCACTGAGGCCACCTTCTACTACTTGCCTGTGGCCTAGGACCTGCCATCAGACTGGGCTCTGCATGCCTCAGCAGCAGAGTTCTTTGCCCAAGCATATGGAGGCTATGCCAGATCTGAACCCCTACCTACTGGAAGGAGAGGTTCTACCCTGCCAAGTTCCCAATGTCCAAACACCCCAAGGGCAGAAGGATCTGAATTCTGTGACTCTGGAGCCAGAACCATCACCCCAACTTTTTTTACCCCCCATTGCCATCCATTATTCCTGTCCCTTGGGCATCCCCCCCAGGCTACCCCAGACCAGCCCAGACCCCTCTTCCAAAGGGGGCCTCCTTAGGGATGTGGTGGGGTGGGGCTAGACAGAGCCGGGTTTTCCCCAGGGGGGGCAGGGGGGGACAGTACTGGTGTGAGGATGGACAGCATGTTGAGGCCAGGGGCGTGGTATGGGGGCAGGATGTGGGGCATGCGGACGGGGCATCCTGCCTGAGCCCCTCAGTCCCAGCCGTTGTCCTTCACCATGTGCGACATTTCAATGATGTACTTCCCCTCCTTGTACTTCTGGCTTGTCTCAAAGGCTTGCTCCTGGGAGAGTGGGAAGCAGTGAATGGAAGGCACTCCAGTACTCCCTCCCAGCACCTTTGGCCCTATGGCAGCAGGTACTCCCCCGGACCATCATGGCCTCAATGGCACGTGCTTGGAGGGCAATGGGAGCCTGGGCAAGGTTGGATAGGATGGGTGGCTCACCTCAGGGAGCAGGTGTCCTGTTCCCAGAATACTCACATATTTCCAGCCCAGGGTGGTTTTGCAGCTCTCACAGAAGATGTCAGCCACAGAGTGGAGGCCAGTGAGCAGGAGGCGCTGTTCAGCTGGCCCACAACCCACGTTGACCCTGTCTCAGGAAACAGGAGGGCCCAGCGCAGCCACGCAGAGGGGGAGGGGTCTGTTACTCAGGTCAGCCCCCTGACCAACCCATAGGGATCCTCTCTAGAAGGATCTAACCCCAGAAATCTGGAAATACCTTTTTTGAGGCCCACCCACCCCTTTTTGGTTGATCCCTGGGAACTACTTTCTCCAGTGATGGGCCTTTAGTATCTCAGCCCTCCCCATGGGCTAATTCCTGGGAGGACCACAGGCCAGGCTCCTGTGCTATGAGGGTACAAAGAGGGACTTTTGTCCCACCGCTGGGTAAGGGAGCTGCAACACCTGTTTGCTTCCCTCTGATTGCTAGGGGGGGGACTTGACCCTGAAGCCCCTTGCTCCACAGGGAAAAAAACAAGGAAAGAGGGAGACTCACACAGAGTTAAACAGGTAGGCCCGGCCATGGCTCCCCTGGAAGGACTGTGGAGACACAGGATAGAGAGTGACTACCAGGGACCCCATGGCCCCACCACCTGTTCCACCTCAATGCCACAAATGAGGGAGGAATTTTTGATCAGGACTGGTCGGCTCACTCCTGATGATGTTCATATAGGTGGGGTCCTGGCTGGGGAAAAGCTCCCTCACGGTTTGTAGGGGAGGGGAGAAATTTGGGTCCTTCTCCGCGTACCTTGGAGATGAGCTCATCATGCTTAGCCAGGTGTGCCCGGCAGTGAACACAGCTGTATGTACGATGACACCGAGGCAGGTAGCTGCGGAAGGTCTTGGTGGGGAGGCAGGCAGGGCCCGGGCCAGGCTCGCAGCTGGGCATGACGGGCTGGAGGGCAATGCCCTGCCGGGCTGGGGGGGCTGGCGCCGTGCAGCCCCCACACAGACGATCGCAGGTGAAGCAGCGAAGCAGGTTGGCTAGAGCCGTGTTTCAGGACAGGAGAAATGTGGGGGGGCTGCCCAACCAGGGCCCCCCCAGACGAGAACCAGGTAGAAATGAAGGTCACCTGGGAAGAGGGGAAGGGGTGCATAAGGAGAGCGCTGAGGCAGTTAAGAGCCTCTCCCGGAATGGCAGCTGGATGCTGCTACTCTGTTTTCCTGGTGACTATTCACCCTCGCCTGCTGTCTTCTTCTGCCTCCAAGACTAGCGCTTTTCTAGGAGAGTTTGGATTTTTTTTCCCTGTCCCCTTGATTCTAATTCTGCTCTGGCAAGTCCAGCAGCAGTTCCAGTCTCCAGGCATGAGCCAGGGAGTCAGTATTTGGGGTGGGGATAGTGAGGCTAGCAGCAACCTCCCCATCAGCTTTCACTGAAAGAAAAAGCTCTACAATAAGACAAAGGACGCTTAGGAGCCCCATCACTGGCAAGTATCTTCTTGGTTGTCCATTCATTTGGGCAGTTCTAAATCATGGCTGCATCCAGGTGCAGTCTCGGGCCGCTTCAAAGTTGAGATGCTTAATTTATTTTCTTGGTTCCCATCCTCCCATTTTCAATTCACAACATTCCCCACAAATAAACACCATTTCCACGTGAGGGTGGAAAGGTCGTGCCAAGACTTCGAGAAGATAGGATATGTGCGTGGGGAAGGCGGGAGGAGTAGCTCAGTGCACTTGGGGAGGGGTGGGGGTGGCGCGGCCGCGCATGGGGACGGGGGGGGGGGGGGAGTGGCACGGCGCGCTGCCGAACACACGAACACAGCTTTCCTTCTTTCCCAGTATTTCATATTGTTGAGTTCTTCTTTCACCACTAGGAGGAAGAACGTCACAGCTCCTGGCTCCTCGGTAGCAAGGCTCACTTCTGGGGATGCAGGCTCTTAGTGATGGAGGTACCCTAAGTTATGAGTTGTCTTTCTGGAGCATTTGATTCAAAAGTACCATTCTTTTTGTCTTGAGTGACCGATGTTCGTCATGTACCCAGAAAACTGGAAAGATTCTCCCCTCTGTCCCCACAACCTCTTCCCCCTCCCCACTCCCCACACACTCGTGGAAGCATGTGCACAGAAAGTTGGGAAGGGTAAATAAAGCCTTCATGACATCCTTCTTGATGGATCCAGGACTCTTATTCTAGGAAGGCTTGTTTGGGAGGCTAGTTGAAGTTTCATACAAAGGAGAGGGTCTCATCTTTTTAAAAGTTATGAAGCAAGACCACTTCCATCTAAAGGCCTCTTTCCATGGCCCATTGAGATCTGGAGGGTGTCCTGGAACCTCCAAGGCTAAGGCATCTGAGTACAAGCTTTGGCAGGTTCTACCAATTGGAAAGGTTTTGAGTATGGCCCTGGTGAGAGACTTGTGGTTCTTTGATATGTCAATGTTCGAGAAGCACATGACCAAGTTAACCACAGGATAATGGCTTTTTTGGCCACGGAAACTCTTAAAGACCAGTCACTAGATTGTAGAGGTGTCTTAAACACTGGTGGACCAAGTACCAGCAAAATGACAGCTCTCTGAAGTACTGAAACAGGGACAAACAGAAATGACACTGTGGGAAAGGGAAGAAGCACATTACTAGAATAAAGAACGGTTCTCTAAAAAGAGGCATTTTGAATATGAACACTAGCTTCCAGTGAAACTCCAGCTCTACACTGGTGGATAGTAGGTTGTTCTCATCAGTAGGCAGACTGTGGCCTTGCACCTCCTTAATCTCTTCTATGCTCATTTCAAAAGGCCTGACTGAGGGCTAGTCTGGAAGTACAAGTTGCTTGGAGGGATACAGGTAGGTCTTTGGCGCAGAGAAAAGACTCCAGGACTCAAATCAAGCCAGAGCAGAATAGGATTCCCCTTACCTCAGGATAGTGCCTCCTACCTCCAACACCAAATACAGTCTTATCCTTCAAATTGCCTCCTAAAGATTTCTATTTTCCCCTCCAGAAGCCAAAGTTCCCTACTGATTCATAGATTGTTTCCATTAGGGGCTCTTCTTTCACTACATATGATCCAGGTAGGAATACCAGCTGTTGTATTCAGGGTGACATTGTACTCCAGAATGGTCCAAATAGCCTTAAATGTCAGCGCCTTTTATTGGACGGCTTTTTGATTTCTCCTTCATCTCCTTGCCTTCAGCTCTCCTGCCAACTGTTGTCCTGCTCCTGGAGACCACAAACCTGCAAGCACTTTGGTGTGCCCAAGACCTTCTGCTTTAGTCAGTCCCTTCATAACCCCCGCCCCCAGGAAGGTGGAGACAAAACCAAACATCAGAGGATAATGGAAAAAGTGACAAGAATAGGGATGGGGAGACTGCATCTATTATTGCCCCTCTCAAATAACAGCAAGAAAGCAGGTTAAAAACAACAACAAGAGAGCAAGCCAAGCGGTGGGAAGAGGATTTTCTGCCCTAATATGAGATGGGGCTGGCCTGGAGGAGGTGGGGAGAAAGGGAGGGAGGGGAAGAGAGAAGGAATCCAACCACCCCGATAGCCTTACAGGAGCGCTCTAGGACCAGATGCTAATCCCGTGCCTCATTGAAAAAAAAGGGGGGGGGAGCACAGAGCGCACAATGGAGCTTCTCGTCAGCCCCGAGGTCTCAGCACCCCCCCCCCCAGTTGAATTCTGGAGCTTTTAAACCATTCACTTCCACCCCACCACCACCCCCGCCCCAATCACTTGGAGTGCTGTCCATTCGCTTGGGGAGGCCAGAAGCTGGAGGGTTTTTTCCTCCCTAGCTGGCCAACGATCTCATCCGCCAAACAATAAGCATCACCCCCGCAGCGAAAGTCGGGGGGGGGGGCGGGGGAAGAAAGCCTGGGGAAGATGCGGAGCTGGACAGGGCTTGTAAGATGCCCAAAAGAGAGGCAAGGGAAGCCGAGGAGGAAAATGAAGGGGGCGAGGGAGGGAGGCAGGCAGGGAGCAAAGAGAGGACAAAGGGCGGCTGGATGAATAATGAATGCATTTGCAAAGAAGATCAAAGCACCGCAGAGCGAGGAAATTTGAAAAGAAAAAAAAATCCGATTGGAGCTGCCCCCTCACCTTGAGGTCTGCTCCAGAGATCTCCGTATGTATATGTCTCTCACTCTTCTCTCTTCCTTTTTTTTTTTTTCCGCCTTCGATCTGGAAGGGGATGTGGGTCCCAAAGGGCCTGGGCCCGGGGCACGCTGGCAGGGGGCCGGATCGAGCACTGGGGGCCGGGAGGGGTGGGGATGGGGGGGGTCTCTCCTGCTCGGGCTCTCTCTGTGGGTGAATGTGGCTGTATGTTGTGGAGCTGCCTCATAACACTGTGAGTCATCCAGCCCCCAGCCCCCCCCCTCCCCCTCCCACGTCAGAGCAGGGCTGGGAGACACAGGGGGCGGGCCGGGAGGGAGGCAGGGAGGGGGCAGAGACTGTGGGACCGATGCGGGGAGTACAGCAGGGTGGCAGGCAATCAAGAGGACGAACTGGCTCGTCCCTAGGAGCATCATGGCGAGAAAGGGAGCTACTTGGGAAGTGGGGAGGCAGAAGATGAGACGCGCGGAGAAAGCGAAGGCTGGTCAGAAGAAGACAGGGTGACTAAGGAAGACAAAAGAGCAAAGGAGAAAGAAAGGTGGAATGAAGAGAGGGAGAGGAGAAAGGGGAGAGGGAAATGCAGAGAGCAGTGCCTACGTACACTCACAATGATCAATTTCCACATTTCAGTCCTGACACCAGCCCTGACGCAGGGCAAAAGATGGGCGGACTCCGGGATTAGGGACAGCGACTTGAGCCCCAGGCTTGGTAACAAACATCTCCAAATCACTGAGAGCTTCTGGTGGACACTACTAATCTACTAACCCCTTCCCAAAGGAGTCACTAGGAAAAAAACAAAACAAAACAAACAAACATTCCAACTCTTGGCACTGATGATCCGGTCTAAGGGTGAACATCTCAACTACTTGGACCCTTTGTCAGCTCACTGACAATTGCTAACTCTTAGACTGATGGTCCGAATTCTTTTCGAAACCCCAGATTTAACCTTGACTAAGCTTTTTGACCTGAATCATACGACATAATGTATGTAAAGTGTTTTGTAAACCTGAAAGTTCTATTTAAAAACAATAACAGTTAACATTACCGACTTACAAGATATAATCTCAAGCCAGCCTTCTCTCTCTCCCTTCCCCCCTCTGCACATATATATCACTCTATGTATGTATGTGTATATATAACATTAAGTTCATATATATATATATATATAACATACATGCACATGTGTATCTATGTATCTATGTATATAATATGTATGTATAATATGTACCTCTAGGTATAGATACATAGACATATTATTCCTCTTCACATATTGTATTTTCAAGGTAAACTGGCCTACTTTGCTGTTCTCAAAACTCAGCATTCTATCTATTTTCGACCAGGCCTTTGCTCAAGCAACCCCCATGCCTGGAGTCTGCTTCTTCCTCACTTCACCTCCTGGATCCCCCTAGCTTCCTTCAGGTTCAGCCCAGGAGCTGACGCATCCAAGGACACTAGTTCTCATCCCTTGGTTGTTAGTACCCATTTCTTCTCAAATTGTCAAATGCACATTTACCTGTTTACATTCTGCATCCTTCTCCTTCTCTAAGTAGAATGCAAGCTCTTGGAGGGCAGGGATGCTTTTTCATTTCTGTCTTTGAATTCCCAGTGTCTGGTACATAGTATAAGACTAACACAGTATGCTGGATTGGCTGCTTAGTGTGTATCCAATCCAGGGAAACAACGACACCCCACTCAACACTGAGCAGCCTAAGCCAACCCTGGAATCCTTGGATCAGAAGATTTCTCACTAAATGCCCCCCAATGTATTACAGTAAGGGCTATGCAGAAGTCAGCACCAAAGACAGCCCTTGCCCTTGAAGAGGAGATTACATTCTGAAAATGAAGTGAATCACTGACATACATGAACAGAGAAGATTGCTTGTAGCTAGGTTCATTTCTTCTCTTCCCACACATAAGTACTGAAGAATTTTCAGGTGGGGGAAAGGTAAAAGTAATAGGAAGCATGACTTTCTAGTAGTAATAAAACAAACAAACGAAAATTCCCATTATTTCATCGGGAAAGTGTCCCCAGGAGAGGAAGAATTTAAACTAAATTCTGACAACAAGAATGAGGGGCCCTGTGGTTAATTAAAAAACTAATAGCTGGCCTTGCAACTAGGAAGACCTGGATTCAGGTACCTCCTTTAACACACTAACTGCACGACCCTGGGCAAATTAGTTAACCTCTCTTTGTGTTTTAAGCATCTTTCTAAAGGTCAGTGAACTTGTTTTTAAATATTTTGATAACTATTTCAATATGGGGTTGCTAGGTGGCATGGTGGATAGAGTAGATAGAGTCAGAGCCTGAAATCAGACAGACTCGTCTTCCTGAGCTCAAATCTGACTTCAGACACTTACTAGTTGTGTGACCCTGACTTAACTCTGTTTGCCTCAGTTTCCTTGTCTGTAAAATAAGCTGGAGAAGAAAATGGCAAACCAGTACCTCTACAAAGAAAACTCCAAATGGGATCACTAAGAGTTGTACAGTACTGGGTGAAAAAAATGACTGAACAGCAATTTCAGTATAAATAGATTTCTTTGTAATTCTATGTATTTTATACATTTAAAAACCTCATTTCATAGGCTTCAACAGACTTACAAAGGAGTCTACAACACAAAAAAGGCTAAAAATCTGTACTCTAAGACCATACAAATTGCAGAGTAGGTGCTGACTTGCATTGCTAGAGGGACTAACCCATTTGGAAATTCCTTATATCCAAGAAGTTGAAGGTCCAGTCCCTATCCCCCACCCAAAAAGAGCAAGCAGGAGGTAGCTTGATGTGGAGTTGATAGAAGAAGTGGATTAAGGGAGCAGCTAGGTGGCACAGTGGATAGAGCACTGGCCCTGGCATCAGTAGGACCTGAGTTCACATCTGACCTCAGAAGCTTACAGGCAAGTCATTTAGCTGCCATTTCCTCTTTAAAAAAAAATTATGAGAAGTGGATTAAGAAGGTGATAGGAAATAGTGTCTAGGTAGGCAGAGAAGTGGAGGAAGCTGACAAAGCCTGGAGGAAGAAGGACCTCCGGGAACTATCCTTCCTGTTAGCTGTGGGGAGACAGTGAAAAGGAAGGTCTTTCAGAAAAAGGAATGGCAACAGAGCTTATCAAGATATTGCAAGTGAAAAGAACAAAACAAAAAAGGTTATTAGGGTATCTTTCCATGTTCAAGCAGCAGAATGAGGAGGATATAAGAATAATACATGTAATAGCATGTTAAAAACTTCATTTTTAATTTCTCTAAAATGCTAAGAGATACAATTTCTAAAACTCTTCCTAAACCTTTCTCTTTAGGAAAGTGAATAGTACAAACCCTAATGGCCTTTCTTGGGGAAAGGGATTAAAGGTGAGGAAGTTAAGCAACCAAACTTTACTCTTGTCTGGGTAAGATTAATGCCTTCTCCAAGCTTGAAGCTATTGGCTCTAGGACCCACCCAAGGATAAAGTCTTTCTCCTAGAAAAGGATTAGATTTAGATTCTCCAGAAAGAGCTCCATGGATTCCTTGAAAGGAGTGGTCCATAAGGGTTGAGATAGCAATTTACTATTGTTCAAATTACTGAAATGCATACATTTATAAATCTGTACCCATATACATATATTTACTACTCTATACATCATAGATACATATATACACCATAGATTTGGCATAATATACTACACACACACACACACACACACACACACACACACACACACCCTTCACATATTGTACGTTCTTTCGTGGCATCTAAATAGTAACAGTTGAGTGCTGGGTCTGGAGTCAGGAAAACCTGACTTCAAATCCAGCCTACCATACTTATTAGCTGTACGAACGTGGACAAATCACTTAACCTCTCTTTGCCCCAGTTTCCTCAACTGTAAAATGGGTAATAATAACAGCACCAACCTCATAGGATTGTTGTGAGGATAAAATGAGATACTTGTAAAGTACTTAGCCCAGCACATGGTAGATGCTATATAAGTACTCATTCCCTTCCCTTCTTGAATATTAACCCACATATTATTTTAACAACTCTTTTCCTTGTTCAAGACTCTTAAAAATGTTACCTGAAATCATGTTGTGGTAGACAGTCATGTTGGAGGGCATAAGAAACTATGCCATTTTGGACATCTCTTTTCTCCAAGCTAGAAATGGCTTGAATACTAGATTAATATTAAATAAAATTGCTTGTCAGATTTGAGCTTAAAGACAGCATTAGTATTAATATTTTATCTAATATACTGACAACTGTATAACAAGATGATCTCGTCACATCATGTGCATAATTAAATGGTTTTGTTGTTTGTTTGAATAAAGTTTCTTTTGCAAATAAAGAAATAAAATTTAAAATAAAATAAAGATTTCAAAACAAACAGACTAGTGGTAGTTTGTTAAAAGAGAAAAAAAAACAAGAATAAACTATATATGTAGTGGAGTTCTGGAATGATGCCCCTCCAATTTACAACAGCCAGATGAATTTGCGATTACTAAGGCTTAATTCAGTTCGGTGGTATAGTGGATAGAAGAAGAGACAGGATAACCTGGCTTCAAATTCCACTTCTGAAGCAACTGTCATTATTATTAGTTTCCTGAAAAAATAAGTGCAGGACAAATGCTTTTTGCCCAGATTTCAATGTGCATTTGATTGGACACCCTCTAATGTTGGACCAACTGTGTGTGTCTGTCTAGGATAGAGCACAGATGGACAATGAGCTGGTCTCAGAGTTAAAAGAATGAAGACAGGCTGGCTTGTTTCTCAGGAATTATATCCCTCTTTTACTGACCCCAAGCTTCCCCCAAGCAAAGGCCCATCTTTTCAATCCTAATATGCTATATGGCAACATAAATGGATAAGAAACACCACTGTTCTTGAAGAGATAAAGATGAGTGTTACACAGAGATCAACAGAAAGGAACACTACAGGTGTGGGCTGGCTGCAACACCAAACCTATGGAGAACTCTGCCAACAGGAGAAAAGGATGTCAAGGAAGCATTGGAGGAGAGGAAGAAAAGATGGTAAGGGTGACAGCTGACCAGCCAGAGCGCTCCACTGGTGCCCTGGAAATGTCAGGAGAAATTGAGAACGTCTTCCAACACACTGGCTCTAGCCCTTGCAGCAAACTTTTGGGAGAACATGGGCAAGCATGGATAGGATTAGATCTGTTTCATTTAAGGGAACTCTCAAATTGATGAGATCATGGATCCATAGGAAAGTCATTGAATTTCATTGAACTTT